ACTAATTGCAATCCTATTTCAGGTTTATAGGGTTGGCGAATCAACACAAACCTTGATATAGCCTCAAAGTGAATGTTAGGCGTAAATGACATTCACCCAACTCGTAAAATTACGATCTCATTGATACGTATATATCATTCTCATTAAGGATTATATTCGTGGTAAATCGAATGAAGGTACGGTGGGATAACAAGTCTCTTAGGGCCTAATTAACCAAGAAGAATGAATCTTCTTAAAAGCAGGAGTATATTCAAATATAAATGAGATGACTTAGGGTTCGTATATTCGTGACTCACCATATCATTTGTTAATTTCAAACTAGATATACTTCAAAAAGGCCTAGCATGGGAAGGGTTTAGCACATCCACAATTACAAAAAGATGGATTGAAATAGCAAGGACCTATATATCGACAGCATGTTTCTTTTAAACTAGACTTTATAAATTAACTAAGCAATATAAGACTTCTCTACGAGATACAAAAATTTTCGATTCAGATTGCAATTAGTTGTTCTAAATTCTAATGCCAAATATATTAAATATTTTAATCTGTTATTTGGCATATAACATTTCATGCATAAGTTATGTGAAAATTGATTTACTCATCTAGAGTGGTATTATAATTTATGTAGCGATGACATATTGGATGAATTTGCTTATTCAAGCTATGAACAGATGATTTTTTTTCACTAAAGAAAACTTGATTTATTGATACTAAACTGTCACAGAAAGGAGGGACTGAAGGAGGTGTTGCAATCCTTTTTAGGTCTAAAGTAAAACATAACAAACTAAAACTTGGGGAATTTTCAAAACAGAGTGCATCTTCAGTATGCTGATAAGTCAATCTTTTCCAAACTAATGAATTGTTGCGAAAACATACTGCAGCCAATAATTTGCACTGTGAAATAGCTGCTTCGAGATTTTCTTTTTAAGTAATTCTTACTCTTGATTTCTTTTGGTATGTGGTACCTTTGTTGCACATGAATTGGACAGAGCTTGTTGATCTTGGTAAACAAGATTGATGCGTCGTCACTTATATTTGCAGAACGAGGAAATTGTTTAGCCGTAAAATGATACAGTTGAATTTATAGCGTGGTTTATAGACAAGCGAATCGACTTGATCCAAAAATGATAAATAATTAAATAAAATGCAAGACTTAGCGTTGAAATCGAGATAAAATAGCAGAGAGCTTGGTTTCGAGGCAAGGCTTCCGAAGACAGCTATAAGAATACCGTGAGAAAGAAAATAAAGTATTATTTAGCTTGTAATAATGTGTAGCATAAGTTTATCAGAAATTTTATTTCTTACAATGGCTGTTGAAGTCACTATTTATAGTTTATCCTTGGAACAAGATCCTAGGATCAAACTCCTCTTAAATGACAATAATGAAGGTCATTGATGAATATGCAACGACAAGTTATGAATGCCGAAATCCTCCGTAATGGATGTTTATTTAATGTTGAAGAATATTTTCCATTGATTGTCATCTGGTGGCAAATATTTTTTTGTCCCCATTGATAATATCCCCTTTGGGGTCTACCCGATGCCAACCGAAGCTGTCTTCCTCGGTCTTGGCTTTCACACGCTTCGTCTTCCGTCTGTCCCCAGTTCCACGTGTCACTCTATCATTCAAGTATTTAATGTGAACTGATTTTACCCTATACAGATAGTCCCTCTGCTATGTGCCACCGGAAAGTTGGTGAAGATTCTTTTCTTGGTGGGAAATTTTCTGAAGCCTTCTGAAAAGTTTCTGACACTTGATTAGATGCACGTCTCTCCGCATTTAATACCCCGAACACGTATTACTCTATGATTTAGAAATATTTTGGCCGGTTCTCGAGGTAATCATGGCCTCAATTTTAGCTGCCTATTACTTTACTTATACGCCTTATACTTCTTATTTTACACTTAACAGTTTTACAAATTCTCTCAACTTCTTTGCATTCAACTCTTTCCTGCTTTCACTCTTCTTTAATCTTCTTCAAATAACTCTTAACACCTTTTGTTAATCATGGCTTCTTTCACTAACTCTTCCAAAAATTCTAGTTTTCTCTTCGGTGGGGGTTCAAAGCAGAACAAAGATAAAGAAATCAACGTTGATACTCACCCCCTATGGTGAGCACCATCATCCCCAAAAGACTCAACATAGCCAAGGACTTCGAAGAGTAGTTTCCTTCTTTAAGTTCTCGCACTTGGGCTATTGGCATATACCCTTCTTCCATACGCCATTCCAGCATTCCTGCTATGAAGGAGGATAGTAATTTCCATGATCAGAACATTATTGCTCCTGAATTGGTGGAGCGAGTAACCTTTTCCAAGAAGGGTTTCATGTACGTTTATACGTACCAATTTACTTGGTGCGTTTTCTTTTGGAGTGGGGGAATTGACCACGTGATTTTGGAATTGTGCCACAAATACTAGGTTTCCTTGGCACAGGTGGGCACTTCTGTATGGTGAACGGTGGCCTATTTACGACGACTGTGCCAGGAGACGAAGGAGGAACTCACCTTAGCTCGTATGATAAATCTTTACTCCCCCAGGATTTTCGTGGGGGAGTAATAAATTTCAGTAAACGTAGCCACTATGCTTTTTTTACAAGCATGGATGATGACAACGACTGTGGATGGATGAAGCAGTTTGTCGCACTAGGGATATCATCCCGACCAAAACTCCATCTTTCCCTAAGTCTTGGACTCGTACACATAAGTTCAAAGTCTGTCTTTATTTCTGAAAAAAGGTTATTTCATATCGTTGCTGATCCTTGTCTTTTCATTATTTCAGCAACTCACTGGACACCACCAAAGGTTGAAGGCTTGGACCAGTGGGTTCAAAAGATTATGGATATTACCATGCCTGAGACTCGATGGTGGATAGTACTAGCTCCCAAATATGGGTGGAAGGCCAAAAACCATGGTAAGTTGACTCGTGAAACTGATTTTGTCCTCATCTCATTTTTGTGCATAAGAAAATTGGTTAACCTTTTTTTCGTTGAAGTCAAGTCTCCCGCAAAGCTCTATTACCATCCCTGTGGAGGATGTTTTAGCTGTTCCTGCAGAGGCACCGAGGTTGCTGGAGGAGGCTTTCACCCGAACATGCATCATCGGATCTGCTTCTGGTGCAAGTACTTCTTCTCGGAGTCCCCGGCAGGAGAACAAGCAACCCAAAAAGGCAACGATCTTCCTCGGCCGAGGATAAGAATAAAAAGGTGAAGAAAGCTGCGCTTGATCTAGCCATAATCATTATGGTAATTGATGATGATAAGGAAGCCATTGATGAAGGGGCTTACCTACAAATGAGACAACAACCTTCATCAGGTCAACACAATGATCAATCTGAAAAACTTATAACCCCAAACGGGGACAATGCCCAAGCGCTCTGGGGAGAGTTTGACTTAGTGGAGAATGCCAATTCTCCCTTTCTGGTCCGAGTTGCTGCTCTTGGTACTATGAGGCTGAGTACTAGGCCTCTTCCATCTTTAGTTGGTAAGCAACCAACAACCACCACTGCCTTTGCCGCAGCTGCTTCTCTACCCATAACACCATCCACTTCATCTCCTTCCACACCGGCCATACCTTTATCACCAGTAATGTTACATCATCCCCACTGTTTGCAGACACCCGAGAGGATGATGTCCCTCCTCCCAAGTCCCCAGATCATAGGAATTTGGGGCACAACTATTCGCCCCCTTCCGCAGATCCCCAAATGAGGAGGAGAGTCTCTCTCTCAATATCTACTGAGTGTAACCTGCTGTCCCTACCTGTGAAACTTTCCAATTACATAAAGTTGCTAGATTCATAGAAAGATAAGAAGAAAATACACTCTCTTATGGGAGAGTGTATGATAAATAACGCCATGCACAATGCAACAACGGTATTGTACTTGTTCTTTTTTATGTTTTGTTTCCCTTTGACTTGTTATGATAGTGTTTCTAACTTGTGATTTGCTTCGCAGGCCAACTTCCTTGCTTTCGAGGACCTTCAAAAGTTGATCCTCAATATAGAAATCTTTAGTCTAAGCGGAATCAACTGTTGGCCGAGAGAGACCAAATTGCTGCTCACCTCCTAGTGTTGGAAGAAAAAGCTACTCAAGCCGGTGAGTTAAAGTCGTGGTTACAGCAGAGCGAGCATGAAGTGATGGCCCTCAGCCAAGAAGCATCTCAGTTAAATGTACAATTTCAAGAAGCCAATGCTAAATGGTCTGCATCCAGAATGTTTTGCTCGCTGTTGCTAAGTGTGAATATGCCTCCATAATTGAGAGATTGAATAACTTGGAGGCAGCCTTGAACTCAAAAGCTGAAGAGGTTGCTACTACTAAGTAGAAGCATGTCCAGATGGAGGATAAGTATAATAGGATCATGGAGTACAATAACGTTCATATAGACACTATCTGTGATCTTGATCTTAGCCTTAGCACCGCTAGATCTGAACGGGATGGCCTTTCGAGCGAGATTGATCGGCTTAAACCAGAACTCCAGCACCGAGCGGATTCTCTCATTATTGATAAAACACATTCTATGTATAGAATAAGGATAAAAACCTTGGAAGATGACAAAGCGGGCGTCATTGATATTGATGCCAAAATCGCCAAGGCCCGGGAGTTGGAGTCAATTGCTCGAAGACACCTCCCAGCTCAGCCTGATTCAACTGACTCTTTTGGTTCTGATTCTGAGTTCTCGGGCACTGAGGAGGAACTTGAAGGGGATAATTATGAAGGCCAATATCCCGAGTCAAAATCATATCCGCCTACTTCTAATAGGGGCGCAGATGCTTCTCTTCCACATAGTTCTAGGGGCAATATAGCTTAGCTTTTTGCTTTCTTTTCTTTTGTTATTTTCTTTTTGTATTTTTTTAGTTGTTTTGCGAGCACGTTTGATAAATAAATCTACTTTTTGTTCAAGCATTGTGCAAAGTTTACTTTTTTGTGTCGAATTATGCAAGGCTTTGACTGTTTATATCTACTCTAACTGCAATCAACAATTTTAAGTTGTACTTCCCATAGACATGTGTGTTGTCTATGGAGATGACTGGTTGACAATGTAAAAAATCATCAATGTGTGACGTGTCCTAGTTACTAAATACTACCTAGAACACACGTTAATTTTCAAAGAATGCCTTTTTTGATAATAATATTTCCATAAATCTGCTGCACTGATGACTATTAAGCTAGTTGTTGGAGGTTTTACTTTGAACATATCAGTGCGTACACACCCCAAGCCGGCTTGGATGAGGAAGTCAGGAGGCGTTTCTGGGAGGATTTGGATGAGATGGTGCGTGGTATCCCGCATACTGAGAAGATTTTCATAGGAGGAGATTTCAACGGCCATATTGGAGCGACGTCTAGGGGGTATGATGATGTGCATGGTGGCTTTAGTTTTGGAGATAGAAACGAAGGAGGAACGTCTTTGCTGGACTTTGCTAGAGCATTTGATTTGGTGATAGAAAGCTCGAGTTTCCCGAAGAAGAGGGAGCACTTTGTAACCTTTTGTAGTTCGGTGGCCGACATTCAGATTGATTATTTACTTTGCAGGAAGTTTGGTAAAGGCCTTTGCACGGATTGCAAGGTCATCCCAAGTGAGAACCTCTTGCCTCTTCATAGGCTTCTAGTCATGAACCTTGAGATCATGAGGAAAAGGAGGAAGAGGGAGATGTATAGACAACATAGTATTAAGTGGGCAGCCTTGACGGAAGCTAAAGTGCAGGACTTGGGGGTCAAGTTAAAGGCCCCGTTAAAATTTCCTAATGATTTAAGATTTTAAAGTGCGCTAGCTAATTTGGGAATAATGTTTTCGAGTATTAAAGGAGATCTGTGGTATGCTTAAGGTATATTGGAGAATATTAAGGAGGTTTGTGAGTGGGAAGAATTTGTGTGGAACAAGTTGGATACATTTAGTGGAAAGAATGTCTCAATTTGCACAACACTTTACTTTAAGCGGGAATTACTCTCATAGAAAAATTATATTTTCAATGAATTTTGTCCCTAAAGCATAGCCCTTCGAGTCTAGTTTCAAACTCATCAGACCATTTGTCATTTGGATATACAAGAAATTATGATCAAATTACTAAATTAAGGTACACAGAATGAAGAAAGTCTTGATAAGTGTTTAAAGCCTTAAATCGCGCCTCGAGATCTCTACTTTCCGCTTGTGTACCCTAGATGGCTATGGATGAGGTTAACATTGTGTAATCATGGTTTCATACTTATATAAAGATTTGGAAGTGAATTGGGGGTATACATCGTAGCAAGGTATCGAAAGAGAGTAAGTTGGAAAACATGAAATATAGAAAGGATGCTACTGGGGAGCTCGTCTGAACTCGTGTGCCGCGTGGGTTTGAACGAGCCATGACCCCCAACAATTTAAAAAAATAGCAACATATTTCCCTAGCACACAAACTTGAACGAGAGATCATTCATGTCTGTGCGACGCACGAGGATGCACAAGCCAAGCCTGAAGCCTTTATATAGAACATTTCGATACCTCACCTCCCCCACTCCTCTTGGACGATTCTTGGAGCTCCTCTCCACTATCTCAAGACCCCTCCCATATTCAAGGTGAGTAATCCCTACTAGTTTGGTGTTTCATTCCATCAATTCCACCCTACAACTAATCAAATCCACCATGGAATCATTAGATTTTCAAGGAATCTTCCCAAGAGCTCAAGTGAGGACTTTTACAAGATTCACTCCCAAAGGTAATTCCATCTCCTTGGACTTGCATGAATGACTTAATAATGAATATATGAGTAGAAATTTAGAGCTAGAACTTATTGCATGATTATTGTAAGCCATAGTTTCACCGATTGGAATTTTTAGAATTTGTAGAGAATGAAAAGTGATTTGTTTAATGAATTGGTTGGTTGGGGATGGATGATATGGCATGAATACGTTGTTGGAGGTCATAAACTATTAAAGGCCGGTTGTAATATGAATTGGTGGAGCAAAGAGTGGGTATTGAATAAGGAGATATCATCAATAAAGGTTGTAGAGAAATGTGCACACTCAATGTTTGATAAAATGCCTAAGTTAGCTGAATGTGATGAACCCCTTCCTAATGATGGTCCAATTTGACCATGTTTCTATAGATTGACGTTTCCAAGGGTAGTGGAACATTTAGCAACTCCAATGAAATCTCAATCGAGGTATGTTGGCTAATTTCTCTTTTTGAATCGAATTCCATAATGTTCCCTAAGGTGTATGGTTGACTCAAGTTATAAATTCCTATATTCCGGGTTATCCCTTATACACTCGACTATCTCGAACGAGCCTTATGTCGAAAGATATAAGTTTAAAGTATGGTATGTGTATTAAAATGCTATGGCTTTGAGCCGTGTTTTAAATGAAGGTTATAATGCCAATTGTGTGAGAAAATCTTGATATGCTTAAGACCTTTAATTGCTCATATGTGTACCTAAAGTCTTGATTTAAAATGTCTTATTGTTGATAATCTATAAAGATGCTTGATAATGAAATAAGTGAATTGGGGATATAGTGTGTGGCCAACGTGCCAATAATTTATGTTATAATTATGGCTAGTGGTGCCAAGGAAATGAGAGGATGTGACAAAGATTATGAAATGAGCCTCGAACTCAACTATTTTAAAATGACTTCTAAAATAGAATTGCCTAAAAGCTCTTGTACTCAATCCATGCTCGTAAGTGGTTGCTTTAACTAATTCTTTGCTTTATAAATATATCCAATGTGATTCAAGATCTTACCTACTCAGGTGTTGAAATTGTACATTACTGTTATTGGGAAAGAGTACTTCAAGAATAAATAGTGTATTGCTTGTTTGTGATTTTAATGTGTGTTTCTAATGCTAGTCAGCGTGCCACATTCTTTGGGAAGAAACCTTACGTGTTTAAAGTTTCCATAACTAATGAATTTGAGATTTATGATTTGGAAATATTCAATATGTTGATGTTTGATGGTGATCCTTCAAAATATAAAAGAGGTGAAAGTGTGGTACATGAAATACATCCATCGTGCCATGAATAAAGAATCTTGTGAATGGTCAAAAGAGCCAAGGAAATATTGTGGTTGTGAGTGATTGAAACTACTAATGAAGATTTATACGATGTGAATGATGTTGAGGTGAGTACACTTATATTTATGTTACCTTTGTGTTTAAATCAAATCAAAAATGTTTTTGGAGAATATCGATAGTCACCAAGGAAGGGTAGGTTTAATTAACCTAACCCCGAAACTACACTTGCAGGTGTAGGAGTGAATTGTGAATATTTCCCTTAGTTGGGATGAAAGTGATGTGATAAAATTATTCCCCTCAATTAGGATGGGATTATTGGTAAAAGCAGTTGATGTCGATCTACACGACATTCTGGTGAGACGGCCTAGCCGATCGGGTCGTGATTGGATGTCATGCCGCACACATGGTGGTGATTGTGCTGGAAATTATAACTGAAATTTTGATCAAGATTGTGATAGATGTTGATGTCTCAGATGAGATGGCCTAGTCGATCGGGTCATGATCAAACTCTGTGCCAAGAGTACGGTGGCATTGTCAACAGTGGTATTTTGAATATTGGCATTGTGAACTGTGGTATATCGGTACTAAAGATCTCCCAACCAAAAATATATATTATTTTTATATTTTGAAAGTTGTTATGTTTTAACTGGGCATTTGGATATTGTTGATCGTGACTTGTTGTTCTATAGTTATCCCTTTTTATATGGACATTCTATTTTGAAAGAGGACATTTAGCTATACATACTAGTGTTATTCGATGGACTAACGTCCCTTTTGTCGGGTTGTGTTGTATCTTTAATTGATGCAGGTGGTTCTAGAGCAGGCGGCATTGATCAATGACAGCGGTACACTCTCTTCCCCGCTAACTTGGTGGTCCCCACATCATTTCAGGGTCATGTATCTTTTATTCCTCATGTACTTTGTGTTTTGAGGTATAGCTGGGGCCTTATTACCGGCATTTCCATATTACTCTTCTATTGTACTTAGAGGCTCCGTAGAGAGGTTGTGGATGGTGTTTGATGTTGGGAATTGAACTAGAAATGTTGGTATTTGGCAAACATGTTTTTTTCATTATATCTATAATCATGAAATATTTTGGAAATTATGAGAATGAAGCTGCTAATAGAATTGAAATGGGAGTTGTTAATGAAATATTTGCAGTGTTTGATTAATGGAGTAAATATCCTCTTTATTCATGGATGAGTTTGGGTAGAAGGAAATATAACAAGCTTGCTTGACCAGGGTATCTCGTTTGAGCACCGATCACGCTTCCCAAGGTTAGGGAGTGACATCAAGCTGGTGACTATGGGGGCTTGGAGGAGTAGTGGGGACACAAGCGCTATGTGTACCACGACTGCAAAGTGCATTAGGGAAGCCGCAAGAGAGGTATTAGGGGTCTCAAAGGGTTACTTTGTGGTCACAAGGAAGATTGGCGGTGGAATGGAGAGGTGCAAGGAAAAGTGGAAACCAAGAAAGCAGCATATCTGAAGCTAGTGGAAAGTGCAGACAAGGAGGAGAAGAGGGAGAATAAGGAGCATTATAAGTTGTCTAAGAAAGAGGCAAAGCTAGTAGTTACGGCGGCCAAAACTGCAACTTTTAGTCGTTTGTACGAGGAACTCGAGGGCTGAGGTGGAAATAAGAGTTTGTTCAGGTTAGCCAAGGCGTGAGAAAGGAAGATGATGGCTTGGACCAAGTGAAATGCATCAAGGATGAAGAAGGTAGAGTTTTGTTGGATGAGGGGCTTATCCGTCGGAGATGGCAGACATACTTCCATAGTCTCTTGAACGATGAGGGTGACAAGAGCATTGTACTGGGTGATTTGGAACTCTTCGAAAGTCGTTGTGACTTTGGGTATTGTAGGTGGATTAGAGTTGATGAAGTTGAGGGGGCTATGCGTAAGATGAGAAGGGGAAAAACAACCGGGCTGGATGAAATCCTGGTGGAATTTTGGAAAAGTGCAGGCAAGGCAGGCTTAGAGTGGCTCACTAGGTTATTTAATATTATTTTAGAATGAAGACGATGCCTGAAGAGTGGAGGTGGAGCACGATGGTTCCTGTATACATGAACAAGGGTGATATCCAAAATTGCAATAACTATCGGGGTATCAAGCTGCTTAGCCATACTATGAAAGTTTGGGAGAGTGTGGTAGAGCTACGGGTAAGGAGGAGTGTATCTATATCTAAGAACCAATTTGGCTTTATGCCGGGGCATTCGACTACAGAAGTCATCCACCTTGTTAGGAGATTGATGGAGAAGTATAGGGGGAGAAAGAAGGACTTGCATATGGTGTTCATCGACTTAGAAAAGACGTACGATAAAGTTCTGAGGGAGGTTTTGTGGAGATGTTTGGAGGTTAGAGGTGTACTTGTTGCCTACGTTAGGTTGGTTAAGGATATGTATGATGGACTAAAGACCTGAGTGAGGACGGTGGGTGGGGACTCGGACAATTTTCTGATTATGATGGGGTTGCACAGGGTTTGGCACTCACCCCTTTTTTGTTTGCTCTGGTGATAGACGTACTGACGCGCCACATCCAAGGGAAGGTGTCGTGGTGGATGCTATTTGCCAATGATATCGTATTAATTAACGAGACATAAAAAGGTATGAACGTGCAATTAGAGGTATGGAGGCAGACCCTGGAATCTAAAGGTTTCAAGTTGACCAAGACCAAGAAAGAAAACTTGGAGTATAAGTTTAGTGGCTAGACTCAAGGAGGGGAAGGGAAAGTGAGGCTAGACTCACAAGTCATCCCTAAAAGAGGGAGTTTTAAATAC